TGGATTATTCGAGATCCTGCGTGATACTCAATGGACTACCGGGTTTATAGGGGCTCAAGTATGACGGTGCTATCACTTCGGTGGTTGCTATTGTACTTGTGCTCTTATAAATTGGTCGGTTCTACCATAGAGAGGGGGTACAAAGATTATACCAAACCACGCTCTTGACATCGGGAATCAAAGCGAAGCCTGCTTGCCTCCCTCTAGACCTAGCCTAACTAGCTATGCCCTGGAATATGGTGGAGCTCTAGGATGATTAAGGTTTCTGTCTTCTCAAATGACTTGATAACTGGGGTTATGCCTAGAGGGTGGCAGGGGCTGGTATATATAGACCGGAACATCTAATGTGAGCCCTTGGATCAAACCGACTTAAAGAACGGCGTAGATGCAACCTAGAGGCGGTGGAGAACCGACATTAGAAGGAGGGGCTGACATGTGGGCCCAGGGGGCTAGGCGGCCTGCAGGTGGGGCCGGCCACCTCTGCCTCTCTGCCTCGGCGTAGAGTCCTCTCGAGTCTTCTAGTGTCCGTTTCGCTGCGGATAAGCGCAATTAAATTTGACATGTAGGTCCACCTTGACGGTTTTCTGAATAAACCCTGTAGAAAATACAGATTCACCAAAACTCGTGGAATTTGTTAGTTTAAACCCCTAGACCTTCGTTGGTGATTATATTTATGTCCTTATACATGTTATTTTGACGATTTATAATAGTTGTTAACTACCGTCAACACTTATCTACCAACAACCCCATCTCGCCAGAAGACGATACATCCAAAAGGGAAAGCAAACCACCAGAAGAGGTGGGAGCTAAAACCAACCCAGTTCCACAAGTTGGTAGACATACCTCCCAAGATTTATGTCGGAGAGTCCATCATCAGTGTCGGCGCCGACAGAAATGAGGGAGTGACAAAAGGATAGCCCGACGAGATCTAGAGCACCCACCAGAACTCCAGATCCGACGAGCTCACACCTTATTAACCTCTAGGCTGCAGTGATGAGGGAGCTATCGCTGCCATCATCAGCACCGCCATGGAGGACCGAAGACCTCGGATGGCGTCGCATGGATGCCGCCAAGGGTAACCCTAAACTACTCAAACTATATAACATATAATTAGTAGTAATAGACAACCGCACTTGCCCTCAACCAAACCCCTCACCTCCCGACGCCGGAGACGTCGACAGAGGCGAGAGATCCGGTGAGGAACAGGCCGAGATCGAGAAATCGCCCGCTGTTTGCCTCTGAGCACTGTAGAGAGGGGAAAGAACCGGCCTAGAGACTCTACTGCTCCGTGGCTCGGTGGTTTTCTCGCACTCGTCTAAGCAGGCAGCTTTCCCTCACAGAAGTCAGTCCGGTCTTCTTGAAGTCAACTCCCAGGCCTGGCCCATATAGGGCATGTTTGGGACAACGGTCGTGGACCGCGAGGGTCGAGCCGCGGTACAAGAAACTCGCGGTGCAGTTCATTTTTGTGATTCCTCTGCCGTGTGTGGTGGAAACAATCATCGTGACCGCATGCTGTTTGGCGTGATTATTGGATTCTTTTCGCCGCCGCTGCAGGATACGCAGTCCCAAACACGCCCATAACTAGATAACTGGTCAACTGGCCTGCTAGTCTTCCTCTCAGAAAGAAAAGAAAAGAGAAGAAAAGAAAACTGGCCAACTAGTCCCCACGGGCAGCCTCTCTCCTCCGGTGTCTGGCTCCTCGGCCATTCGCCCGTTCTAATCCGCCAGAGAGCCCAGAAGAGGCAAGTCGCTCTCGCATCTCGCGCGCCTCGTGAACGAATCCCTAACCCCACAATTAAAAGCAAGCAATACCCGCTCCCCACCTGCGCTAATTAATCACATCACGAGATCCCCTTCTCCACCTCCTCCGCCTCAGTCACACGGCTCGACCTCGCCTCGCCGCGCCGCGCTCCCACCACCGCCACCACCCCGGCCGCCCCGCTCGCGACGCACCCAGGCGCCCCCGCATCCCGCGGCGCCGGATTGGGTTCTGCCGGGATCCCGCGGCGCGCCTCGCCGCCCGCGTCACAGGTCAGTTCCTCCATTCTCTCTAACCCTTCGAATGTGGACGTTGCTGCGCGCTTGACCGATGGGCGACGTGCTCCATTGCCGCTCCGGGATTGATGAGGAGAGCGAGTGGATGATGGCAGCGGGCAATGCTGTCTTCGCCGCGCTGGTCTTTGCCATTTGTCAACGCCGCTGGGGTTTGACTTTGCGTGAATACGGTTTTCAATGGGGAGCTCCTATGGAATGACTGGCCTGCGCTGGTGGGCGAGATTAATTTGGGCTGCTGACGCGTGAGAGGGCACCAAAGCTCTTTGGTCAAACTCTTTGAGCTGGACGTTGGATAAGGTTAGGTCGTCCAGTGTACTGTAGTTACGCTCGCCTGGTCGCCTGTTAACCGGTCTATTAGAGATTGGCTGGAGACCTACGCTTGCCTTCATCACATGCTACACTTTGTCTTTAGCTCGGTTTCCGGGTTAAATGGTAGTTATAACTGGCTCATAGTTAGTCATGGATTTTTGTGGCTCAGTGGTCCAGTACTAGTTTTCCAATTCCTGGATCGGTGTACGTGCTAGTCAAACATGAGGCTGTTGGTTTAATGTGATCACACATTCACACCTGGTTGCCTTGGCGGTAACATCACCTGTCCCCTTTCTCTCTCTTGTGTTGGAGCTTGATAGTGATTGCAGTATGGAGTTCTATAGTGATTGGCTTTACAATCTCTGGTGGAAGGGATACTACTTTTTGAAATTTAGATATGGTGCATTTTCATTGTCTTTTTATGGTGGGAGATGGCTGTAGATACAAGATTAAATTTAACTGGTCAATGTGTCAAATTCTGAAGTGACCAACAATTTTACTTTCTTCTATTTGAGGTTTGATTTGAATGAGAATGCAAAGTGCTGAAAGAACTGAATTGTTAGTATCTAGCATGCATGCTGTATGCCCTGATCTGTGTTAAATCTGTGTACAATCAACATATGCGCGCGTGAAGTCCGATCCTTTGCAGAGCATGTTTCTGGTTCTGCTCCTATAGTCCTTCATGAAATAACTGTTCTGTTTTAATAAATCTGTACATTTAACATATCGTGAAATCTGAACCTTTGCAGAACATATTTCTAGCTGTGTTCCTGCAGTCATATGTGACAAAATTTAGAGGAGCTCTGGTGTATCTGGTGTTCCTGTTGTACTTGACTAATCATGTTATAAACTTTCAGTTGGCACGAAAGTAATTTCTTTGTGCATAACTTTTAACATAAAATGGGATAGAACATCTAGAATGTATCAGTTGTTCCAAGTGAAAAACACTCATGGAAATCAATCTAAGAGAATATCGGTAAGTTTTGAAGTTTAAATGCAAGTACGGGTGTTGTTTTAACATGACAATGCATATATTGATTCTTTGGTGGAAAGTCCTTAATTTGCATCCACAAGAATAGGTTAATCCTAGCATGTGAACCCTGCTTTGCTATGGGTTTTAGGTTCAGGCAATTTCCTGACCGCTTTATCGGTTCCTGTATTTTACCAAGAATTCCCACCAGGCTTCTAATTTTTTGGTCAGCCAGTACAATTGGTCAACATGCGATCGATCCCTTGGTACCATTATATAGAGCACCAGGGCATATGCATCCTATGCATACCCCAGCATATGGAAGCTAGATGCAGCATGTGGCTCAGCTGACCTGGCGCGCATAGAATGCAATAGAGCCCATCTAATGCTGTAGTAGAGTTTTTTTTTAATTATTTATTTGACATGAAATGCTGCAGTAGAGTTAGGGTACCAGGCATGTAGCAAAGAAGCGAATGGATCATGGGGTAGGTGGTTAGCCTAACAGACTACGTGTTTCTATTTCCATTTTTTTGTGTCATCAATTTCTTGGGTAAAAGGGAGCGATATTAAAAAAACTATAGTCTCAATGGTTGGTCATTATAAATTATGCTATCTAAACATTTGCAAGTATAAATATGTGCCAAGGCAAAGGAAATTGTCATAGGTCACTATTGTTCTATGGCTTGGTCCATCGATCTTCCTGACATTAATTATGAGTTCCTGACAGCTATCGACATGTTCCCAATCTATTTCTGACATCCTGACATACCGATTTCATTTTCCGACCGGCTTTCCTGATTTCGATTTTGTTTTCAGGTAAAAATGTGAAATTGGATGTGGTTAAAACTTTTCCCTAACGTTTTCATCCCTACTATAAACTATTCAGAACCTGATAATTTTGGGTCTGATGAAACTGTAGTCGTGATGGTGATGTGGCTGAGCATAGATGCTCTATTAGGAGTCAATTTTAGAGTAAAGAAAGATGTTGGTGCTTCAATATTGGTTGTAAACTTGTTCACATGATAGTTCTTGTTAGTGACTGAGTGGCATTCGTGACATTATAACAAGGAAATCAATGTTTCACAATAACTGGCTAGCAATATATATGCATCATGTCTGGAGCATGCTGAAGTCATTGAATTATCCACATAGTGGTCAATTCTGCTTAGTTCTGTTTGTTCGATACAGGAATTTGTAACATGAAAATGGCAATCCTCATTTGGATTTGGCAATATACATTCAGACACCCACAGCTCATATATTTGATCATTTGAATTGACATTATAACATAAATCAGATTGCCACAATTGTGAAGTATTTACTCAAACCTGTTCTAAAGTTGATTGAGTTGTGCTCGACACATTTACATATTGTTTATACAAGGTGAATAGTAACATCTGGTCTTTATGAACATGGAATTGTGATCCCATAATCCGCTGGCATCCTTTTTTTTGTTTTTCTTCTTGTTCTTAGACTTTGTGAGCATTTGTTTTCTGTAAAGAATTTGAGGCCTCGCCACATGTCTCAAAAAATAAATTTCATAATTCCCAATTTTTAATTGTCAGGATATTATGTTCAATTTGTTTCTTTGTTCATTTAAACGTAGGGTGGCCTTGAAGGATGATAATTGAAGCAAAATGATTCTCTATTTCACCATATTTTGGAGATGGATGATCTGCCAAGGGATGAAGGAAGATCCCAGACACACCCTTCAGATCGGAATTGGCCCTCCCATTTGGAGCAGAAGTTCCAGTCCCTGTCCCTGACTAAACAGGAAAGGAATTTTGATTCTGCATATTCTTCCCTTGATTCTAGGGAAGTTGGTCATTCATTGCAGGCTGCTCAGACGTTATGGTCTAGTGGATCCCTTTCAGGTCCAATACCCAATGGTTTTTATTCCATTATTCCGGTATGGGAAGCCTTTTTATGACATTAACTTGTTAAAATATTCTGAGTAACTTGTTTTGGCATTTTAGTGCGTTTGTTGACTCTGAATGTTGCAGGAAAAGAGACTCAAGGAGCGTTTTGATACCATACCTTCTCCTGATGACCTTTATTCTCTTGGAATAGAAGGATTTAAGGCTGAGATTATCCTTGTGGACATAGAAAGAGATAAAAAACTATCTGCCTTAAAGCAGCTATGCACAGCACTGGTAAAAGGATTGAATTCAAATCCTGCTGCAATGATAAAAAAAATTGCAGGTTTGGTAAGTTCTTCGTGGGTTTCTTTACAAAATGTAGGATGATCATGCCAACTTTTTACCCCCTTCAGAGTGCTGCAAGATTCATCCTTGTGATAGATGGCCTTAAAATGGTTTACATACAATTTTCCTAGTTGAAACCGTTCCATTTCTACTTCTGCTCATGTATTTGGTGATTTGTAATTTTGGTGCTTGAAGTATGAATGATCTTTCGTCTTTCCAAACCATTGATTATTTTTTATTCTTCCTACCTATATAAATGCCATACTAAGTTTTTATTACTTCTCTTAAACTTCAGATTTTTAATGATAATTTCAGGTTTTTGACTTCTACAATCGACCAAACCCACATCTCAGTCCTGCAAGAACTTCCTCTGAAGAACTTTCTCATTTCTTAGAAAATAGAGGAGTTCAATTGCTGGGACAGATAAGACATGGATCTTGCAGGCCCAAAGCTATATTATTTAAAGTCCTTGCTGACTCAGTTGGTATAGATTCTAAACTGCTGGTGGTATGTTTTTACCTTCCATCAGTATGTCTGAACATGAAATAGTATTAATCTCTTCAAATGGAATTTCATAATCCTAACTTGTGCAGGGCATTCCAAATGAAGAACCTCATGGATATGATGATTCGTCCAAACATATGTCTGTTGTGGTCATGCTGAAATCTGCAGAGTTTCTAGTTGACCTGATGCGTTTTCCAGGACAACTAGTTCCATTTTCATCCAAAGCTGTTATCACATCCCATATGTCTGCAGCTGGAGAAAGTGATTCAGCCGACTATGATTCCTGTGATTCTCCTCTTGAACCAAATAGCCCTCTATGTGCTCAAAGGTATACTTGTGAATTTCCATTTGAGTGGTATTTGGTAGTAGTTCTTTTTGGTCCCATGAATCTAGTATTAATGTATTAACAGCCTGTAACTTTGCTATTTAGTTTTGAACTATGTGCATGGAATTGCAAATCCTTACTAGGGTGTCATATTTTCCAACTCTGCGTCTTGTAATTTGATGTAGGACCAAGTTGCTGGAATGCTACTCATCCACAATGAGAGTAATTGGAACTGATAGATTAGTTTACCTTTTTATAATGTTTTAGATGAAACATTGAGAATTTTTGTGATGTTTAGTTTGTCTTATTTAAAGCACCGTCAGTTTACTTTTTGTGCTTCTGCTTTTGAGAAATTTGTGTGTTTGAAACTTAAAATGATATTTTGGTTGCCAACTTAACATTTGGGAACAATTCTGTGATGGGCGTTGATTGGTTGGCGGTGGATTGTGAAGATTATAGTGGAAGGAGGTAGGGGGATGAGGGATAGAAAGGCAATGGAGACCCATGATCGCAAGGGGAGGCCGGCGGCCTAGAGCAAGTGATGGCGTAGGATGATAGAGGATGTATTTGGTATATTACTGATTATACACAAGGGGGTTATATATACAGCCTAGTCTAGCCGTACCAGGCAAGGGATCCGTAATACAATCTAACACTCCCCCGCAATCGGAACGAGAGTGGAACAAACGCCCAGACTACAACGGAATTCTAGAAAGACAGAGCTAGGTAGCCCCCTGGTGAAGATGTCCGCGTGCTGAGAAGTACTCCCTCTATTCCAAATTATAAGATGTTTTGGTTTTTTTTAGATACATAGCTTTTGCTATGCACTTAGATATACACTATGTCTAGATACATAGTAAAAACAATGTATCTAGAAAAGCCAAAACGTCTTATAATTTAGAACGGAGGGAGTAGTAGGGACATGGAGAACTCGAATAGCTCCAGTAGTCACCTTATCACGAACAAAGTGCAAATCAATCTCGACATGTTTAGTGTGTTGCAACACTAATGTTGTCGCAATACACATGAACAGATCGCTGGATAGGACAATGAAGCTCCTTAAGTAACATCCGAAGCCAACAAGTTTCAGCAATAGCATTAGCAACAGCTCGGTATTCAGCATCGGCACTAGAACAGGAAACCGTCTGCTGGCATTTGGAGGACCAAGACACAAGATTATCACCAAGAAAAACACCATAGCCGGATGTGGAGCACCGAGTATCAGGGCAACCCGACCCAATCGGCATCACAGTAAGCCACCAAGGAGGTCGGAGTAGTGTGAAAGAGCTGAAGACCATGATCCCAAGATACCGAAGCACCCGCTTGACCATATCCAGCGCCAAGGGCAGTGAGAAGCACTTGAGGAGGGCAGCCATGTAGCCAAACTGTTCGTTGAGCCTGCGAAGAACAGTGAGAACATGTGTCCCATCAAGGACCGGCTCCCCCACGTCGGCCAGCCCTGATGAACAGATCACCTTGGACGAAGGTGCGGAACTCAGCGTTGAGGTTCATGTCACGTGTTTCCTTGTTGCTAATAAATTGCTCCTTCAGAGTAAGCCAAACTTGCCAAGCAGTAGCGTTGGTCATCATGATGAGCTCAACCAAGTCGGAGGAGATTGCTATAAAGCCATGAGAGCACCGTGCAATCTGTCCGCTGCCAGTGGACGTCGGTAGCAGTGTCATCATTGACATTGGTTAGGACGTACTTGCTGAGCGTGTTGAGAAACAAGCCCCTCCGGTGGCTGTAGTTCATGGAGAGAACATCGGGGTGATAGGGATTAATGGCTTGATGTTGACCACAGAGAACTGGGCATGAAGAGCAGCGGTGGCGGCTGCGGTCTGTGCCGCACCATAGGATCGATGTGCTTCCTCCTCAGCGTGATGGCTTTCTTCCTGTTTGAGGCATTCGACTTCAAGACGGGCGATCTTTGCCGCACGGAGGTCAGCAGCCCAGTGTTCTTCCTTGATGTGCTGGGCATCTTTGTAAGTCATGATGAGGAGAAAGTGCCGATGCAAACGGCGTGTACGGAGCACGGAGCACCACGCAAGGGAGGGTGGACGATGCGCTTGGAGCGCGGCATGTTGGGAAACGGAGGCTCGCAGCGCAAGGGGCAGCACACAATGAAAGAGATACTTCGTGCGAGAAGTCGGCGACGGCAGCATTGTAGATGAGATGCAGAAGCAAATTAGGTTAGGAAAGGAACCTATCTGATACCATGATAGAGGATGTATTTGGTATATTATCGATTACACACAAGGGGTTTACATATATATAGCCTAGTCTAGCCGTATGAGGCAAGGAATCCATAATACAATCTAGCATAAGGGGTGGTGGCATCACTGGGGGCTAGGGAGCAAGAGAGCTTGAGGACTAATCCTCTATTTCTTGCTTGATTGATATGAGTACATGTCCCCTATATTTATACTTCCTATGACTTGTTCCCTAAGCAAACTAGAGGCAGAGTCCTTATAGATCTGGACCCTCCTTTTCCTAAACAAACTCTATCTTCTTCCTAATATGAATTTCCTATGTTATTCAAACTCTAGTTTGACACGGACTCCTGGCCCTCATCTGTGATGCACTGGACCCACCACTGGGGACCTGTTTGGACCTGTGACAAATTCATTAATAAATGAAACCGAATGTTTCAGGGTGGAATTAAATTGTGGTTACTTTGAATTTCCTTGCTATGGTTTATTGGTCTGTGATGAGCACTGTAGCCGACCCCCCTGTGTCTTTTTCAGGCAAGAGCAAGATGATGGCAATAGATCCTTCAAAGTCCTCTCACTACGAAACATCATGCTCAAATCGACAAATTCTATGGATGGTAAAATGAGTGGGTAAGCCATATAATCAAGCTTGTTCAGTGGTTTTATCTTTCTTTTGTTTCCATGTTTACTGGTTTTCTCATTGTACACTTAGCTGCAAATTTACTCATTTAGAATTTTTTCCTTGTGCTTTTCCAGTTCATCGCATAGTGAGCCGAATGTTGCAAATGCCTTCTGTGGTCGCAGCCGCGATAAAGTTGTGAATGAACATCAAAGAACTGCAAGTTCAAGGTTCTCTTTTTGATATCGCATATCTTGGTAGCAATTCTCATTGAATGGACAAAAAACGACATTAATGTTTCTAGTTTTAGTTTGCCTTCGGTTCTTTTCTGCCAGGCTGCCACAGCTCGTACTGCCTAACTCTGATCACTCAGGCAGTGGCAGATCTAGGTCTAGGTCAGCTGAGGCTGCATCCCTAGGTGGCTAGTTCCATAATCCTACCAAAATTTCATTAAAGAAAACAAATACAAAGGACCTAGCAAAGAACACATAGATGCAGCCACAGGCGTGATTTGTTTCTGACACCACCCATCTGCATACAAGTCAATCTTTGGGATCAGTATTCATTAAATTGTTCGCATGAAAATTGTGTCAGCATATTTGTTGTCACTTTAATTATAATTTTGTTATTAAAACATGATAACTTATAAGGGCAGCTCCAACAAACGACTTTGAGCTAGCTCTAAGCATTTTTTTTCATATTTTAATAGAAGAGAGAGAAAAACTAGCTCTTGATCAAGAGCTAGGCTCTTACACACATTCCAAGATCATGTGAGAGTGTCATGTGGGCCTAATCATACTAAGAGTCATTGCTAAAAGTTAACACTATTGAAGATGTTGGCTTAGAGCTAGTAACTAGCTCTTACTGTTGCGGGTGCCCTAACAAAAGTATTTGGAGGCAAATCTGCTGATGATTTCATATAATTGATTGGTATTTGTACAGATGTAGGCCTACTTTTATTTAGTTTGATTGCATGCTTTGAAGGTGGATCTATCTTAACTAGATGGGGGTACTATATATAAATTACTAATTGAATATTTTGGAATTTGAAATTTCAAGAAACTCTTCTAGTACCAGTGGCATGTGCTATGACATAAACTACAAAACTTCAATAGCTCTTAGCTATTGGGATGTTATAAGTGCACTTTCAGTCCTTTGCATCCAAGCTTTGTTTTAGTTCCTCTGCTTTAAGACTTGGCAAATTGTGGGTATTTTTGTTTGTTTATTTATCTCTCTCCTTACCCTTTGGATGGAAAGTAACAAGTAGCATGAACATGACAAGACATGAGATGCAGTTGAATTTTTGCTACATGTAGCTGAGTGATGTACTTACTTCTTGGCTCTACATGGCATCTGACAAATCCTCGATGTCCCATTGTCATTACTTGCCTTTCAAGTTAATTTTGCTGTCTGAAACCCTAAAATGGAATTAAGGTTTATTTAGAAGTACAGCAAATGATTAAAATGAGTGGACAGAAGTAAAGGTGCTGTAAGTGCAAAATGTCCTTGTTTTGAATGTTCTATGGAAGCTTTATCTGCTAGTTATTTTAGTTCTCCTTTCTACTGCATTGTATGACATTTCCTTCTTATATTCATATAAAATCCCAACAGAGAATATGGATTTCTCATAGATAAAGTTTCTTTTCCTCAAATGCATTTCTTTGCTCCTGTAGTCCAGAGCATCCACTGTACAGAGTTCGTGGGCGCTCAATGCTGGGTGATAGACAATATGGTGGTGCTGTAGCAGTGTCAAGGTACCTCAGTAAGTTTCTTTTGTGTACTTTTCAATCTGAGCCAACCAGAAGAGGCAAATTCTGATCTTCATTGTTTTAGTGCCCAAACAGGCATCTATTGCTACATCCGTGGTTTCACAAATTTTCCATATAATGTGAAAAAGAATCATGGACAGAAAATGAACAATGGACAATTCGGTTTTAACGACACACTAAACTCTAATACCTGTTTAATTTTACATCATCGAAATGTCGAAACAAGTACAATTGATACCCCCCCACCACCACCCACCCACCCAAAACAAAAAACAAATGTGCAAACTGACCTGGTTTTGGCCTATGTGTCTCCTGAGTCTGGACCTTGTGCCACCCCTCATAACAATGGCTGCAGGCTCTATATGTATGTAGGTAACCCTTTTTTTAGGAAAGAAAAACATTTCAACATTCATCTTCTTCCTTATGGCTATTCTCCTCTCCAAATATAGTCTCCATCAGTAGAGAAGACAACATGTTGCTTCGCTGCCTCTAGTGGAGTAGAACTTACAAATCCATGAAATTACTGGCTTCAGCATGAGCATCGATTTTTTGCAACCATGCAATCGTAACCATTGACTCGTCTATTATTTTAATCTTATCCTTCACTGGTCCTCGACACGACCTGCAGAGTGGCTGCTTTGTGACGACGCATGGTACCAGCAATCCTGCTTTGTGATTAACATCTTATGTTCGAGAAATAAAATCTATGCAAGTTTGTACTGTCTTCAGTGCTGTAAAGCTAAGTGTCATTTGCCACAACAGATGAAAAGTTGTGTCATTTGCCAGAACAGATGAAAAAGAATCACGTTATTGCCCATCCTTTGACTCTTGGAGGCAAAACTTATTTGAGAAAGCTAGTTTACAAGCCCATAGATTCTGTGGTTCAAAAAGACCAGCTTTCCTTTCTTTGTTGAGCCTCTTTAGCTAAGTTCGAGTTCCCCTTCTTGCCCTTCTCAGGCTCTGTACAGTTTTTCTGTTGTCTGTTTTGTTTTCCTCTCTTAGTTTGTACGGTTATTCAGTAGTTTCGTTGTTTCTTTTTTTTTAAATAAAATTCTTACAGTGGGGGCCTCCCCTGCTGTATTTGCAGTAAAAAACAGATGAAATTGAATCATGTTATCGCCAACAAGATAATTTTATGTAATATGTGGAGCGCCATTTCTGAGCATGGCATGTGCTCCTCAGTTCTGACATGACCTTCATCGCACCTTTGATGCTGTGCTTCGCTAGACAATGTCTCATTGCTGATACTACTGGCCAAGGTTTGCTGCTGCTTGCATCACACATACCTTGCCATGCCTCACTTGCCCTATAGGTTTGGGCTTGTCATCCTGAGGAACTTGTTGTGATAAGGTAGCTTTGTAGAAGTTGATTTATTTGTTGGAGACATATTTTCTCTTATCTGTATACCCTTTAGTTATATACTGTTTTGTGAGGGTTGGGGAGGCAGAAAAAACAAAAGGGTCAGCAGCAGAATCCTTAGCAGTAGAAATAGAAATTATATGAGCTTAACTTTGATAGCCAGCTTACCCTTGGGCTATAAATGGTTTAACACTAGTGCAATCAATATTTTTAATCCAGTAGTACTGCTTTCTTTTGCCCTAATTAAACATATTTTGCTTGATCATAGGTCAGATGGCGCATCAACATCGAATGCACATAGAGCACGGAGGAGTACTAATATTACTCCTGAAATCAGTGATGATATTGTGAGGTTGGCAAAGATGGTTTTCAACTCTGATTTGTCTCAAAATAATGGTCAGCTGCTAAGTCCAGTGAAAACACAGTGATTTTAGTTTTATTACTGTACAACACAACTTCGCTAAAATCCTCGGTTTCCTTTTATGATGCAATAGGAGGGTTTTTTTCTTTCTGAACAAACAATGAAATGAATGAAAACAAACAGTTGGTATTTTAAACATTATATTTCACTTGTATAAAATTTTGATAGTTCAGTAACTTATGTCCATTCAGATGTCTTTTGTCTTTTCTAGTTCTTGTGCTACCTAAGAAATATGGTTTGTAATGTTCAGGAATTATATGTTGAGGTTTACTTTTATTTTGGTCCAAAGTTTGAGTCATATAACACCTTACATCTCAGCATCAAATCACCTATTTATGTTTCTTTTCTAGTAGCCATAAATTAATTCAATCTTTTTTGTGTTCATTTCACTTTTTGGCCATTTATTTTTTCTTGAAAAAATATCACAGAATTTTTATATGCATTTTGTTTGTTTGGCTAATTGGCCATAAGCAAGTTAGGAACTTCTCCCATAACAATTTTGTGCTCTTATTTATTTGGAGACATTATCTGTCCTGGCTGACTTTGAAGTGTGTTTTTCTTGTCTTCAGAGCAGTTCGAGCAATGAGTGAAAGCATGAGACAAAATCGCCTTTCAAGGGGGCAGAAAGATGGTAGTCTTGGTCCCTCAAATGACTCACTGAAACATGTATGCTCCATTCGCTTGTTTATGTCGTGGATCATCTGAAAGTATATTTCTGTCGTGGGTCGTGTACTCAGTTTATGTCGCCCCATTCGCTTGTTTGATTTTATTATTCCTAAATACTTATACGCAATGATAGTTGTGATTTACTATTTCACACTTCACAACATGCCATAGGTTGTCTGTATTTTTTTCTTTTGTTTTTTCTTATTTTTTAATGCTTCCTTGGTTAATTTTGCCACAGGACATTCAAAACGTGTCATCGTTGCTGAAAGACATCGGAAGAACTGATCTTTGCTGCTAGATGCTACAACTTTGTATATAGTCGATACTAAACAGAGTTTAGTGTCCTGCAACAAATGTTTTTAAAAAATTGATCTTGCTAGACATTTTGCTGGACGCTAAATCATGTCCAGCAGCAATATACATGATTTTGTAGTGTTCAGCAACAAAGATCTGTGTTTCCGATGTCTTCTAGCAAAGGTGACATGTTTCGAGTGTCGTGTCGTGCATTAAAAAATTTGTATAGACAAATGCACGTGTGTGATTTCTACAAAATTTGGTCAATGAAGATGTTGATATCATTATTAAAGTAGTAATCTAGAGAGAGTTTCAATGCATGTCTGATGCTTTGTTCACATTTTATTCATGTTCTGATGCCTGGGTTCGATGGTGTAAGAGATTTTCCTTTTCCAACTGAAATGAGATTAGTTTCCAATTTTTTATGGCATCATAGTTTGTTTTTCTGAAACTCATCATTAATTCAGGTGTTTATTCCTTTGCAGAAAGTACTATCTGCTTAGGTTTTCTTTGTTGTCATAGCTTGTGACCTCCATTGATTACGTAACCACATTAGTTTGCCACCACTGGTTAAGTGGATGCTAGCAAAATTCTTCTAAATGCCATCCACAGGTGTTGATTTATAAGATACCTAGTTTTGTTGCTTTTCACACCTACAGCAAACACATATGTGCTAAAAACCAATGAGTTACCTATATGAATCTAAGTATCAAACACCTGCTATGCTCATCAGCTCATCAAAGGGATTACTTCCTCTGATTGGAAATATAACTCCATCTAGGTTTGTCCTAAGTAAACCTTTTGTCTTTGAATATAAATATCTAAAATTTTATATACTCCCTCCGTTCCAAATTATAAGTCGCTTTGACTTTTTTGGTTCATCCATTTTACTATGTATCTAGACATATTATTTATCTAGATGCATAGTAAAATGGATGTACCAAAAAAAGTCAAAGCGACTTATAATTTGGAACGGAGGGAGTAGATGATTACACAAGGTTTTACTATATTCGTTATAAAAAAAACTTTCATAGTATGTAACTCCTTCCATTTGAGATGATATGTTTTTTTATAGATATTGTTAGTGAAAGTGTCATAGTGGACTAGTGGAGACTCTGTTGATGTCGTAATAGACTTATATTTCTGACTGGAGGAAGCTGTTAGTCGCTGAATTCTCACTCTTGGTAGTAGGAGAATTCTTACTCTCATCGAGAGAAGATGACACTAGGAGTTGGGGCAATTTTTTTGTCTATTTCTCACACAAACTCACACAAATGCCATACCAACCTGAGGGGTTGGGGTTACATATTTATAGGTCGCTAGCCGATGAAGCATATGCCAAGATGCTAGTCTAAGATGCTAGTCTAAAGATGTTAATATCTCTAGTCTAGCTAAGATGCTGTCCTCTAGTCTAAGATGCTGTCCTAAAAAGCAAAAAACAGCCACAAGGACCATGTGAGCAAAGACACCCCAAAGACCAAACACACATGAGACTTATCCATCATTCTCCCCCTAAGTCTTGTGCGCTGCCTTGTGGGAGAGTTGAACCATCCCGTCCCGGAGCGAGCTCAAGGAACTTGATCCTCCCAAGGGGCTTGGTGAGCGGTGTCCGCAAGGCGATCCTTGGTGTTGATGTAGCTCGCCTTGATGCTCCCTTCCTCCAAACAGCGACCTCGGATGAAGTGGTACCTCACCCGGATGTGCTTGCTGCGTTCAGTGGAACACGGGGTTCTTTGCCCGGGCCAGAGCGGACTTGCTTGTCCACCACGAGCTCCACCGCTCTAGTGTCTCTCGCCGAGGAGATCACCAAGCAAATCGAGCGAGCCAGGCGCGCTGAGTCGAAGCGGTGGAGGCCGCTATGTACTCGGCCTCGCACCGGACAGGCCACCACCGGCCGCTTGACCGATCGCCAACTTAACGAGGCGCTTGCCGAGGAAGAAGAGGATCCCGCTCGTGCTTTCTTGGTGTCGATGTCGCCGGCGTGGTCATTGTCATTTGCATGCGACGGTGTGCCGCCCAGTGGCACCTCGGGTAGTAGCCGTGTGGTCGAGAGTCCCCGCAACGTAGCGGATGATCCTCTTCACACCTGCTGGTGCTCCATCGTCGGTCATTGCATGAACCGACTAACGTGGCCGACGGAGAATGCCAAGTCCGGCCGTGTGTGGGCGAGGTAGCGAAGGCTCCCCACAAGACGCCGCAGATCTGCGTGGCGCCCACCTCCTCCGTCGTCTTTGTCGCTGGCTCGACTTCACCTCTCCTCCATCGGAGTGAGAGTCGGGTTGCGATCGGTGAGCCTAGCTAGCTCAACGACGCGCTTGGCGTGGCGGTCCGTCAAGCGTGATCCCGTGAGTCATCCCGTGCACCTCGATTCCCGTGTAGAAGGAGAGGCCCCGTGTCACTCATCCGGAAGGTGGCCTTCATCTCTTCTTTGAATGCCGCCATCTCCACATCCTTGGTGCCGGTGATCACCAAGTCGTCGACGAGACACCCACCAATGGGCATTTCCTCCATTGCCTCGCCGGTAGATGGTCGCCTCGTGTGGGCTTTGCTCAAGCCCATCCCTTTAGCGTGGAATCCAACTTGGCATTCCACGCCCTCGTTCTGCCGCAAGCCATAGAGGGCCTTGCGCAGTGAGTACTCTGCCTCCTTGCCGGGATCGCAAATCCGGCGGTGGTGGTGCACGAGACCTCCTCCTTCAAGTCGCCGTTAAGGAACGCCGACTTGACGTCCATGTGATGAACTCGCCACCCTCTCCGGGCGGCTAAGCGCAGCGCAGGAGTCGTCGACGGACTCCATCCGTGCCACGCAGGAGCAAAGGCGTCGTCGAAGTCGACCCCCTCCGCCGCGCACGAAAACCTCGTGCCACCAAGCGAGCCTTGTGCTTGACGATGGCGCCGGCTTCATCCCTCTTCACTTGTACACCCACTTAAGGGTGATCGCAGTGGCCGAGGAAGGTCAAGAAGCTCCCAGTGCGGTTCTTCTCAACCGCATCCATCTCCAATCGCATCGCGCGCGCGCCATGCCTCGTGTCTCTCGGCTCTGCGCGAACGGCCGAGGCTCGCCGTCGTCACATGCATGCAAGTGCAATGCGCCTCCAGTCCTCCAAGTCGCGAGCACCAATCCGGCACCAACCGGTCGCCGAGAAGGTTCTCCATCGTCGCACGGTACCGCAACAACTTCGCCGTCGTGGTATGCGCGTCGATCGCTCGCTCGTCGTGAGAGAGCGGAGTAGCGAAGCTCAACCGGGTTGTGCTCGACACGGCCGGTGTTGGAGTAGACGTGTGCGGAGAGGTGCTGCTGGTGCTAGAGTGCGTGGCGTTGCCGGTGGGTGAAGCCGGCGAAGAACTCATCGCAGCCGAGGTCCCGGTGGAGAGCGTGGTCTTGCTCGAGTAGCAGCGCGGGGTCGGTGGAGGCTCGGGGACCGGGGGTACGCGCCGCTCGCAAGAAGAGCCGCCTACTCCCCAGCTCCCTCGGTGGACGTACTTTCGACGGTGAAGTCGCCGTGACGTCGGAGCCGAGCCATCGCCCACCGCTTTGTCCCGTACGCCCATCCTCGCCCCCGTCGAACACAACGTCGCGCTGCAGCTGCGCACACGCAGCGTGTCTTCGTCGAGGATGCGGTAGGCCTTCGAGCCCTCCGCGTAGCCGATGAACACTCTCGGAGTCCTCCCCGCTGCCGAGCTTGGCGATATGGCCAAGCTCCTTGGCGAACGCGAGGCGCCAAGACCCGCAAGTGGGAGACCGCCGGCTTGCGCGCCCATGCCAAGCCTCGTCTGGCGTCCCCGCCGTCGAGCGCCTTGGTAGGCGAAGCGGTTGAGGATGTAGACGGCCGTCACCACCGCCTCTCCCGAAGACACCGGCATCCCCTCTCGCTTGAGGAGGGCCCGAGCCATCCCCACAACCATCCGTTGCGCCAGCTCGACGACGCCGCTCTGCTGCGTAAGGTCAGACGGTAGCGGAGTAGTGGCGCCAATGCCCTCATCGGCCAGCAATACGACGCGAATTCACCGCCGTGGAATTCGCCGCCGTTGTCGGTGCGCGCACACGCCGCAGCTTCTTGGCCGCGACTCATTCGCAGCGGCGACTGCAGCAGCGCCTAATGGCGTCCGCACCTCTCCCCTTCTTCCGAGGACCATCACCCACATGTAGCGGGAGAAGTCGTCGACGAAAGCGGCAGGAAGTAGCGTCGTCCTCCCGGTGTGGCCGGTGTCACCGGGCCACACAAGTCCCGTGCACGAGCGCTGAGCCTCTCCTTGGCTCGGCTTCTCGCCTCACTTTGAGAAAGGGGAGTCGCCTCGCCCGTCAACACGCAGACGTCGCAGAGCCGCTCCCACATGGTCGAGGCACGGCAGCCTCGCACCATCTCCATGGCACTAAGCCACTTGTGGCCTCGAAGTGAAGGTGCCCGAACGCTGTGTGCCCTTGCCACGCCGTCGTCGTCCCGACGAAAGCGGCGAGACAGAGGGGTTGTGCCACCGCACGTTAAGGACGTGAGAGTCGATTTGCGCTTCGGATACCTTGGCAAGAAGGCGACGACGGCGATCCCAAATCCTCATGACTCCATCCTCAACCACCACGCGCGATCCGTTCTCATCCAAATGTCCCAAAGTCGATGATGGAGTTCCTCAACGCGGGATGTAGTAGACTCGGTGAGCGACTGTGCTCACCAAACACGGCAGTGAAGATGATGGAGCCGACGCCTTTAT